ATTAACAATACACTGGGTATTTAATTATTAAAAATATAGATATTATCTCTACCCTTGTGGAACACATGGTATTTAGAAAAGACATTATAAGAACAAAGACCTCAACATAAATCTGACCACACTGAACCTTATAGAAGAGAAATAGGGAAGTATCCTTCAATGCATGGGTACAGAAGACCATTTCCTAAATATAACACTAAAAATAAATATTTCCTAAAAATAAATAAATGGGGCCTCCTGAAACTGAGAAGCTTCTTTAAGCAAAGAACACAGTCAGTAAGACAAAAGGCAACCTAATGAATGGGAAAGAGCTTCCTCAACCCGCCGTCAGACATAGTACTGATATACAAAGACCTCAAGAAATTAGACATCAAAATTCCAAATAATGTAATTAAAAATGGGTTACAGATCTAAACAGAGAATTCTCAACAGAAGAATCTCAAATGGACAAAAGACACTTAAAAAAATGTTTTACATTCTTAGCCATCAGGGAAATACAAATCAAAACTTACAAATCAAAACTACTCTGAGATACCATCTTACACCAGTCAGAATGGCTATATCAAAAACACTGATGAAAGTTTATGTTGGAGATGATGTGGAGTAAGGGGATGCTCCTCCATTGCTGGTGAGAATGCAAATTTGTACAACCACTCTAAATTAGTATGACAGCATCTCAGAAAATTGGGAATCAGCCTACCGCAGGATCCAGCAACACCACTCTTGGGTATATACCCAAAGGTTGCTCAATCATACTACAAGGAGACCTTTGTTCAACTATATTCATAGCAGCATATTTGTAAATAGCCAGAACCTGGAAACACCCTAGATGCCCCTCAAATGAAAAATGGATAAAGAAAATGTGGTACACCTACATAATGGAGTATACTCAATGGTAAAAAACAACGACATCTTGAAATTTGCAGGCAAATGGATTGAACTAGAAAAAACAAACATCCTGAATTAACCCGGACCCAGAAAGATGAGCATGGTATGTACTCACTCATAAGTGGATACTAGCTGTGAAGCAAAGGATAAAGAGCCTATAGTTCACAACTCTAAAGAAGGTAAGTAACAAGGTGAACCCTAAGAGGAACATATATAGATTCCTCTTGGAAGAGAAACTAGACAAGATGTTCTGACAAAATTGGGAGCATGGGGGTGGGAGGAGGAGGGGAAAAGGGGAAGAGGTGAGGAGAACTTAAGGGAACGGGATAGTTGAGATGGGGGAAGGAAAGAGATGGAGAGCAAGGAAAGAGATATTTTGATTGAGGGAGTCATTACAGAGCTAGCAAGAAACCTGGCATCAGAGAAATTTCCAGGAATCCAAAAGGATGACCCAAGCTAAGATCCTAAGCAATAGCAGAGAGGGTGCCCAAACTGGCCTTGCCCTGTAGCCAGACTGATGACTATCTTAAATGTCCCATAGAACCTTCATCCAGCAACTGATGGAAATGGGGCAGAGACCAGCAGTGGAGCACTGGGCTGAGCTCCCATGTCCAGTTAAGAGTGGGACAGGTAAGAATATGAGCAAAGAGGTCAAGACTTTGATGAGGTCACCCACTGAAACAGTTTACCAGAGCTAATGGGAGCTCACCAACTCCAGCTGGACAGGGAAGAAATCAGTATAGGACCGAACTAGACCCTCTGAATGTGGGTGACAGTTGTATGGCAGAGGCAGACTGTGGGGCCACTGGTAGTGGAACCAGGATTTGCCCCTGCTGTTTTGTACCAGATTTTTGGAACCCAATCTCTTTGGATGGATACCGCGTTCAGTCTGGATATAATGGGGAGGGTCTTGGTCCTTTCTTGGAGAAATGGGCCTTTCTCTTTCTAGGGAGTGGGTGGGGCGTGGGTTGTGAGGAGGTTGACAGAATAGGAGGAGGGGAAGGAGTGGCAACTGGGATGGGTATGTAAAATAAAAAATGATAGTTTGTTCTTTTTTTTAACGAAAAATAAAAAATGAACAAAGAATGTCAAGTACATTACTTTCACAGGGATGTTTTTTTCCACAGAGAAATTCTATATTTTTTTAAAAAAATGATTGATTTATTTCTATTTTATATACATTGGTGTTCTGGCTGCATGTGTGTCTGTGTACGGGTGTTGGATCCCCTAGAACTAGAGATACATGTGAGCTGCCTTGTGGGTGCTGAGAATTGAATTTGAGTCCTCTGCAAGAGCAGACAGTGTTCTTAACCACCGAACCATCTCTCCAGCCCCGAAATTCTACATTTTAAATTCATCATATGAAAGAGAATTCAATAAGTTACTCAATTAAATAATTAAAAAGCAACATCCTAAGTAAAGCAATTTGTTAAAATGTTCTTTAAAATAAGGCAAACTTATGTAGCCAAAGGTCTTATTTGCAAATCCTATAAAAGTCTTAAATCTTAAATTGTCACTAACAGTATGTTACTATGTATGCTCTGGTATTCTGACACTGCTGATGCAAACTTCAGTATTAACACACAATTTTCATACTCCTGACTCAAGATGATAGTCATAACATTGAAATGTTTAGTATGCATACATATATAGTGATAAATATCAAATTATGCTATGTCAAAGCATCATCACTTTTAGGAAAAATTAGGGGTTAATAAATCCAGTCCCAGGGACAATGGCTCAGCCTTCTTCGTGTCCTGTAAGTTCATACCCATAAGTTTATTTGCTTTGTGTATTTTACTCTCTATGACAGTGAATAGTCTTTTAGGAAAAAAGAGCATATTTTAGACTTTTGTATTTCTTATGTATCACAATGACAAGCATGTATTAGGTACTCCATTACTATTTGTGAACTAAATGAAAGAATTTTTCAGAGCTTCCTATGAAAAGAGGAATATAGCAGTGCTTATGACTAGGTATAGCAACTGACTTCAGATTCTGTCAAATGTTCCCTACCCCTGATAATGACATGTTCATATTGGATAGGATAAGCATGAGTAAGTAATGTGGCCCTGGGAACATCTCGATGGCTTTAGAAACTAAATGATAAGAATACACTGTGGCTCCCATACTGCCCTCTTTTGATCATTCCCTTGTAGGGGAACCAGCAGTCATTTTGCAATATTATTAAGTAGCTTAATGAAGAAGTTCACATGGTAACTACTAGAATATTTTTGCCTCTAGCAAGCCATATGAGTAAGTCATACTGAAAGCAGATTCTACAGTTCCAATTAAGCCGTCAGACTACTGACTGCAGCCCTGACTAATATCTTGACTGCAGTCTCATAAGAAATTCCAAGCCAACATAAACAATGAAAGAAAATTAAACTGAATGCCCGTGAAATCAAAGAAACAAATCCTTTGTGCTAAAAGGACATCAAGCAAGTAAAAAATTAATCCATGGGATATGTGAAAATATTTGCAAATAATTATGTTTTAAACCTTTTTTATTCAAGTATTTTACAATGCTAAAGAACAAACTTAGGACCTCCTACTTTCTGGGCAATAGCTCCCCCATAGAATTATATCCTTATTTCTTACAAATCATGCATCTGGTAAGTGATTTGTACCTATAACTCTATCAACAAATTGATAAAAATACTATAATTTTAAGATGAACAAAAAAGTTCAAGAGTTATTTGCCCAAAAGAAATACAAAAGTGGTCAATACGCATACAATTAGCCATCAGAGACGTCCAAATGAAAGCCACAATGCAATACCATTTAACATCCATTAGGAAAGCTACAGGTGTAAAAAAAAAAGATAGATGTTAAGTGTTGTTGAGGCTGTGAACAATTTAGAATCCTCGGATATTCTTGTTACCAATGATGATGTAGGGAATAGAGAGACAGCTGAATCAGTAAAGCACTTGTTGTGGAAGCATGAGGACCTGATTTCAAGCCCCAAGAGCCATGGGGATTACACTGCATGGTGCTACACATGTCTCTGTTGAAAAGGTAGAGACAAGTAGATCCCTGGACCTTGCTAGTTAGCCAATCTAAATCAGTGTGTTTTAGGTTTACTGAGAAATCTTGCCCCCCCCCCCACAAAGAGGGGGAGGCTAGAAAAAAAGCTCAGTGGTTAAGAGCAAGCACTGTTCTTACAGAATTCAGGTCCCAGCACCCATGTAGGGTGGCAATGGCCTATAACTTCACCTTTGGAGACCTAGGAAATTGGAAATTGGATGCCCTCTTTTGGCCTCTATAGGCAATGCACTCACATGCACATGCACATAATACACACACAAGTAACTAAAAATATAGAAAATCTTAAAAATATAGGATGGATGGAGACAGGAGCTATTTCATTTATATCTTTGCCTTCCACACAACATGCTGTGCACACACAAACTTATACACATTATGCATGGACCATCCCCAACAAAATGATAACAGAAAATGGTGTTTAATTTTGGAAAAACATCTGGTACTCCCTCACAGAGTTAAACAGAACTGATAAATGACATAAAAAAATTCACTCCTAGTTATATACCCCAAAGAAATGAAAACACTTGCAGAGACAAACACTGGGGGATTCAGTTCAGAGGCACAGTGCTTGGCCAGCAAATGTGAATGAATTCCTGAGCTCAATCTCCAGCAATGGGGAAAACATCCAATATCAACTGACAGGAGGGTGTACTGACAACATTATATTTTATATACAACATTTATATACACAAAAACATGAACAGAAATGTTCATAGCAGTATTGCTGTACTAGGTAACTTTCAAATGTCCACCAATATAGGGAAGAATAAGTAAAGTGTGGCATCTGTATAATTCAACAAGAAGTAGGCATTACTAATATATATTACAATATAGGTGTACTCTGAAGATATGTTACAAGAAAGAAGCCAGACACATGCACAGTGTTGGCTATAGGACATCTGAGGTATCTTTTCATATATGTATTAGGCTTTGGTTGTAAATTTGTAGAATGGGAAACTACTGTGATTTTTATATCTCACTTTCACTTACATCCTCCAGAACCTATTTCATCAATGCACTGTACTTCACCAAAGGAAGTGAAGCCCTAGAAAAAAAGTCCTTACCTATGGTGCAATTGCCTGTAGAAGTCACTTCTGAACAAGGGCACTGGCGGCATTCTTTAGTAGCATCAGGACTTTGAAAAAATCCCTCTTTGCATTCTTCACAGTGATCCCCTTTGCTATTTTCCTGGCAGTTCAAACAAGCACCTAAAAGAATCAAATAATTGTTTCAGAGTTAAGGAATTTTCAGAAATCCTGCTTGCAACAAGAAGACCATAAAATTACATACAAAAACAATAACAGGATAGTGTTTGTTTTCTATTCTGTTATAAAAAAAAAAGAAAAAAGAAAGAAAAAGAAAGGAAGGAAGGGAAAAAGGAAGAAAGGAAGGAAGGAAGGAAAGAAGAATGGAAGGAAGGAAGGAAGGACGGAAGGAAGGAAGGAAGGAAGGAAGAAAGAAAGAAAGAGAGAGATTTAGGTTGTGAAGACCAACCTCTTCTGAACTCTGTGGGCACCAGGTACACATGGATACATGCAGGCCCAACATTCATATACACAAAACAATAAAATAAATACACCTAACTTTAAAGAAGATTCGTTGTTCATGAGTATGTGTGTGGGTGCCTACCCCTGGTTCTGTGCACCACTGTGTGAAGATGCCCTTGGAGTGCAGAAGACGGAACTGTAGCTCTTTAAATGGAGTCACAGGTGGTTGTCAGCTGCCCAGAGAAGGTGCTGGGAACCCAACCTGCGGCCTCTCCAAGAAACAAGTGTTTTTAACTGTGGAGTCATCTTTCCAACCCTTCCTGATTTATTTCTGATCTAGACTTGTCTGTGAATTCAATGTGTCCTATGAGAAAAAAAGCTGGGTGTGTGATTATAGTCACAATATGCCATTTTTGGCTACACACTAAAAACAGACTAACTGCACAAATTATAAAAAAGATAATATGTCAATAGAAGAGTAAATAAATTGTGGCACTTTCATAGTTTGGAACTTGTAGTGAAGAATGAACTAGCAATGTATACAAACAGGTGTGTTAAAGACAGCACTGGCTGGAAAGCAAACTGAAGAATGACACATAGATGTTTGGACATGGAGACCAAGGGAGAAGCAAATCTGACGAGAGCTCATATATTAATGTCATTAAGCTAAATCTGAGACCTGGTGAGATCACTCAGAGGAAAAGGACAAGCAGAGCTGACAGACGTGCCAAGTTCCAAGCCCCAGGCACTAGTGTAGAGCTGACTAAGGGAGATGGAGCACAGCTGACGGAGAAGGAAAAGCAGCCATACAAAGAAAGCCAGGAGGATGTGGCACCCTGAAGCAAAGTGGTTCTTGAGCAGTCAAGGCAGCCAGCGAGTCAGGCTGCTGGAATCTGTTGTGTGGAACACTACCAACACACAATAGGGTCTTGAGTTCTTAAAAATAAGCCTGCTTTCTGAAGGAAAAGTTTATAGTTAGAAAATAATTGACCCTCTAACGTTTTATTTTAATTAAGGGGTTTGCCACTGAAACAGTCCAATTATATGGTACTTATCATTTTATAGTCTGATTATTCACACTGTCGTGTAGTTATATGTCATAAAAGCTCTGCAATGAAAACATTCTAATAGATACCATTTCTCAGCTTTTTATGATGATCACGGTCCTGTAGATGTACAAATGTATTTAATTTTACAACAACCTACTAGGTGGCTTTGACTTAATGTGTTTCTAACCATATATATCCAGGCAACATTATTAATTGCCTATTGTTATGAATTTGAGTATCTACCTTTTTTAGGATCATAAATACCATTCTGATGAGCATTTTCTTTTTCAACGTGACCTTTTAATGAATTTAGAATTATTTTCTCAGAAGGTTTCTTAAAATAGAATTTCTGAGTTAAATATTTTAAGACCCTTTCTATATATATTGTCAAAATTGTCCCTGTGCCATTTTCACCAATTTATTTTTATTACAAAAACAGAACTTTGAAACCAATTTAAAACAGAAATTCCAGAAAAATTGGGAAGAACATTGGGATCTTGGTGGTGGGGAGGGATGGATGTAAGGGGAGACGGGGACAGAAAAGTGAGAAGGGGAGGATGGCGGGAACTTGGGGAAAAAGGATGATTGGGATATAGGAAGGTTGGCTAGGGGAGCACGGATGCACAATTCTTAGTTAAGGGAGCCACCTTAGGGTTGGCAAGAGACTTGAACCTAGTGTGGCTCCCTGGAGCCCAAGGCGATGTCCCCAGTTAGTTCCTTGGGCAGCTGAGGATAGGGAACCTGAAATGACCCTATCCTAGAGCAATACTGACGAATATCTTGCATATCACCATAGAACCTTCATCTATGGAGATAGAGACAGAGACCCACACTGGAGCACTGGACTGAGCTCCCAAGGTCCCAATGAGGAGCGGAAGGAGGAAGAAGATGAGCACGGAAGTCAGGACCACGAGGGGTGCACCCACCCACTGAGACAGTGGGGCTGATCTATTGGGAGCTCACCAAGGCCAGCTGGACTGTGACTGAAAAAGCATGGGATAAAACCAGACTCTCTGAACATGGCGAACAATGAGGGCTGATGAGAAGCTAAGGACAATGGCACGGGGTTTTGTTCCTACTTCATGTTCTGGCTTTGTGGGAGCCTAGCCAGTTTGGATGTTCACCTTCCTAGACATGGACGGAGGGGGCAGGACCTTGGACTTTACACAGGGCAGGGAACCCTGACTGCTCTTTGGACTGGAGAGGGAGGGGGAAAGGAGTGGGGAAAGGGGAAGAAGGGTGGGAGGAGGGGGAGGGAAATGGGAGGCTGGGAGGAGGTTGAAACTTTTTTTTCCTTTTCTCAATAAAAAAAAAAAAAATTGGGAAGAACAGCCGAACAAACATACAACGTGGCCACCAGAGGGCAACCGTATCCCAGCACTGTTAAAAACTCACTTGTTAGAAAAGTTGTACATGAACTGGCTGTTCTAAGTCAGGTGGTCACTTCTTTAAATTGGATTCTTAGTTTTTTATATGGTAAACATTTGTTTCTTTCAGAAACCAGAATAATTCAAAGGATTTATTTTACTTTATCTCCAGAACATGTGCAAGCAGGGGTGAGAGCTGCCTCAGTGTTACAAAAGAAAAGAATCTTATACATGGCTTTCCGGTACCATAAAAGACCCCGTGAGCAACTAATGGACAGGACAATGAAGTATTCTTCTTGTTATCTAACGTTGAGCCTCACTGTTTTTGTTCATGTTTCCCCATTAGTTTGTTCACTTATCCAACAAAGATTCAGTGAGTGCTCAGTATGTGCCAATATCTGTGCTAGAGATTGTGGAAAGGATGGCGACGAAGCTGATGCTGTTCCTGACCTGATAGAACTTACTGTGGGCAAGCACATGAGAGTGACCGTCATAAGTAAACATGTAAACATCACTGTGACAAGTGCTCTGAAAAATTACAAGTGCACGTGGTAACGTATAGCAAAGCACTTTGCGTTTCGTGAGGAGCATCAGGAAATGCTAATGAAGACAGACCTAAAGGAAGAATATGACTTAATAAGACAAAGGGGTCTGCAGTGTGGATAGAGGTAGCTTAGAAAGGTGATTCTTGGCAGAAGGAAATATCATGAATCATAACTCTGGAATAGAAGACAGGCTGGGATCACACATATATCAATAAAGAAGAACAGTAGGCAATATCATGCACAGGTATGGGATGGCCAGATGACACAGAAAATATAACACAGTGTCTTCTGAACAGATTTCACACTGAACAGTGCACACTTCACTGGAGAATAGAGGATTAGCATACAGTATAAGTTTCGAGCATATTTTCTTCTGGGAATCCATTCAGATTCAAATATTCTGATGCTCTTTTCTCATAACCTCTTGTGTTTATCGAATTCTTTAAGTCCTGGGTTTTTTTCTGTTGGTGTTTAAAAACTTTCTAACAAGTTTCTCTAATGATACATTTAAGGAATTTGTGACAATTTGAATGGGTTTGCACAAATGTGGTTTTCTTTGTTATAGAGTGGGTGTTTCTCAGATTGCTGATCTGTAGGTTGACTTTGTACTCTTTTGACATGAGCTTAGGGGTTAGAACTCAGGTCCTCATGATTGCACAGCAAACACTTCACTGAACTACCTACCTCCCTCATCTTCATGATCTCCACTCCACCCCGTGTGTGTGTGCATGTTCAGTATAGTGCTGTTCTGTAGTAACATTTTATCTCTTTTTACCCATTTTGTCTGATTTTCCCTCTAATTCCACAATATACTAATTTTAGGTATTTAAAAGGTTTAAAGTTAATTCTTATAACACTATTACTCATAGTACTGACTCCGTTGCTTATCACTGGACACATTTCTCCATTTTTGTAGTCTCTGTTATTTATTATCGTATATCATACCTGATATATAAAAGAATCAGAAAGGGTCCTCTTTTCCTGTATTAGGCAAATATGAGAAAATGATAGTGCCAATTCAATCAGGCATGAAGTGGGTTGTATGTAGACTTCAATTTTTGTATCTGTCTCTACTTCTTCACTGTTTCTTAGCATGATCTTTTGGATTAAGAATCTGCCAGACTTTTGTCTCCTCAGCTCTGAAAGACTTTGAGAGATTCAGCAATGGCCATTGGGGCCAATAAGACCCATTCCATGAAGCTTTAGAGTTTGATAATAGATTCACAAAGAGCTGGCTGTATGTTTTAACAGGTTCTCCTCTCTCTAAAAGGATTTTGTCTCCTCAGCATAAAGAATTTTCTGGCCTCGGGGAAACCAGTCTTCTGTTTAGGGCTCTTCTAGTTTCCAACTGTGCTGCAGGCTCCAAATCACAGTCAAAAGCTCTTCTTCAAGTACACATCCTTTCCTTGTGGCTAACCCTTACTCCTCACCCCACACCCAGAACCAGCAAATCTCCCCTGAAAAGAAACATTAGTTTGACTTAACTGTAGAAAACATGAGCCATAACTTTCATGATTATGCCTAAGTAACCCTATCCCCATATCTAAAATAGCTCCCCTGCACACTTCAGATAAAAAAAATAAAGTGGCATGGTAAACGGGACTTCACTATTAGAACCTGTCCAATATCACCAGGAATGTGCCTGGCATCTTTGATGTTAGTGTGAGATAAACTAGCTTCATTCTAGGTTTGATGAGAGTCACCTTTGTCCTTGTAACACTACATAATTTTCAGTTGCTGATCCAAGTTGTGAGGACTGGTCAATCTTGCTACCACCCTTGACCATTCTTATGTACATGAGCACTCAGTAAATTGCACCCTGCAATCCAGGATCTATCTGACTCTCCCTCAGATCTCATGGAGCCTCAACTTTTTTCACACAAAATTTCCCAAGTGATCATGCTCGCTTGTAAGAATTCTAACACATTTCTTCACTTCCGAATCTTCACTTCACGTGGTGTTGATCTCCATACTTCTAGAACTCTTCAATCAATGCTATCTTTGAAGTTCATAGATATTATGTTCAAAAATATATTTGTTGTTATAAAAGTTTGGCTTGCCATGTGATTTATTATAGCTTTTTAAAAGAACAAAAAATTATAAAACAGAGAAAATAAATTATATTTGAAAAGAATATATAAAGACTTCAAGATTGAACTAATAAAGAGTAATTTCATACGAATTAAGGAAACTACGTACCTGTGAGAACATCACAACTATCAGACCGGTTGTTGCACTGGCAGGGCAAGCAGCCTGTCTTATTAAAGCCATAATGTCCATCTTTGCATCGGTCACACAGGGAGCCAGTGACACCTGCTCTGCACTGGCAATTCCCAGAACTACGAATAAAATAAAAGACAATGAACAATGAACAAAAGTTCAGTGATTTTGAAAACTGCATTATTTAAAGCTCCACAGATTATTTGAAGACAGCCAAGAGTTTCTACTAGATTTTACTTTCCAGAGGCATAATAGGGATTTTTAAAGGGCTTTTGTTTGTCTGATTGGTTTTGTTTTCTGGAACCCGAGTGTCGCTGTGTAGACCAGTCTGGCCTGGACCTCTCTATGTAGCTCAGGCTTGCCACAAGTCATAACCTCCTAGCCCCAGATTTCAAAACTAGAGAACTTCAAGGATATAATTCAGTGAATAGCATTAATAATAATACTTTATGACAATTCCATCCTCTATTTAAAATACATGACTGATGGAGGAAGGTCATTGGCTAATAAAGGAACTGCCTTGGCCCATTTTATTGGTTAGAAGATAGGTGGGAGGAGTAAACAGAACAGAACGCTGGGAGGAAGAGGAAGTGAGCTCAGACTCCACAGCTCTCCTCTCGGGAGAAGACGCCTCAGAGAGATGCCATGCTCCACTCTCCCGGGCAGACGCACGCGATGAAGCAAGCCTCCAGGTTAGACATGCTGAATCTTTCCCGGTAAGACCGGTGCTCACAGATTATTAGAGATGGGTTGATTGGGATATCAGAATTAGCCAGTAAGGGCTAGAGCTAAAGGGCCAAGCAGTGTTTAAATGAATACAGTTTGTGTGTTGTTATTTCGAGGCATAAGCTAGCCGAGCAGGTGGCCGGGGTGCTAGGAACGCAGCCCCGCTGCTCTTATCACTACACATGACAAAGGATCCATGGAGTTACCAGTGTAAAACTTCTCTTTAATGACAAGTGGGGGCTTAGAACTTGTACCACTGCTGTTTCCCATTTCAAGATTATCCCACAGCTCAACAGGCATCTGTTCCAATTTGGAGAAAATAAGCCAGTCTTTACTTAGCTTCTTTCTCACAAATGTGAAGATTAATATCTTGATAAATGAACCAGGCACAGTGGCACATGCCTTTATTCCCAGTACTTGTGAGGCAGAGGCAGATGAGTTTCTATGACCAACCTGGTATACAAAGCTAGTTTCAGGACAGTCAGAGCTGTTACACAGAGAAATCCTGTCTCAAAAACCAAAAACATTCAGAAAATTAGGAAACAACCTTCCTCAAGATCCAGTAATACCACTTTTAGGTATATTTGGGTGGGAGGTCCTTCTGTCTATATTTTCCTTTCATTGGTTAATGAATAAAGAAACTGCCTTGGCTTGTTGATAGGGCATAACTTAGGTACGCGGAGAAGACAGAAATGAATACTGGGAGAAGTAAAGAGTCAGAGAGACACCATGGAGCCACCAGAGTCAGACATGCAGAATCTTTGCCAGTAAGCCACTGCTGCGTGGCGATACACAGATTACTAGGAATGGGTTAAATTAAGATGTAAGAGTTAGCCAATAAGATGCCAGAGGTAATGGACCAAGCAGTGATTTAATTAGTACAATTTCTGTGTGATTATTTCAGGGCTAAGCTAGCCAGGCGGCCAAAAGAACAAGTGGGCCCTCCCTCTATAATATCCGACGGATGCTCTGTTGCGGGAGGTCCTTCCGCTCCTCCAGCCAATAGCTGCTGAGATACCAGCCCATTGGTGCGTGGTCTCTCTCTTTAAAAAAGCAGCCACTTCCCTCCTCACTCTCTCTTTGCTTCCTGCTCCGATTCCGGCGACTAGACTCCTTCCTGATTGCACAGAGGGCTGTTATCTGGGACGGTGATCTCTAAGTTTTTCCCCCTTTAAATAGATACCACCCTATTAATCATAATTCCAAACTGGTGTGGGATTCTTTGTGATTTACGCCTTCATCAATGCTCAGTCCTGCTACAAGGACACATGTTCAATTATGTTCATAGCAGAACTGTTTGTCATAGCCAGAACCTGGAAGCAACCCAAATGCCCCTCAACTGAAAGAATAGATAAGGAAAATATGATACATTTACACAATGTAGTACTACACACCATAAAAAAATAACAACAGTTTGAATTTTGCAGTAAAATAGATGGAGCTAGACAACATCATTTTGAGTGAGGTTACCCAGATCAAGAAAGATAATTATCACATGTATTCTCTCATTAAGTGTTTTTTAAACATAAAGCAAAGAAAAGCAGCTCACAAATCACAATCTCAGAGAACCTAAACAACAATGAGGACCCTAAGAGAGACATATATAGGATCTAATCTATATGGGAAGAAGAAAAAGACAAGATCTCCTGATAAAATTGGGAGTATGGGGACTTTGTGAGAGCGTTAAAGTGGAGGGAATAGGCAGGGAGGGGAGCAGAGAAAAATGTAGAGCTCAATGAAAATCAATTAAAAAACCCAAAACAAACAAACAAACAAAAATATCTTGATTACTGAACCATTTCATACTTATTTCTAGACTAGGAATTTGATATAATTCTCTATTTTGAGCCTACAATGTATTTAAATCATAGTTCTGGTAAGTAAGATCGAGATCAAAATTAAGCTATTACGATTAAAATGGGGTCATCTGATGCATTTTATACTAAATTGTTAAAATTTTATCTTTATTTATGTATTTGTGTGTCTGTGAATATGTTTGTGGGTACCTCCAGAAGCTAGAATGTGGCCTTGGATGCCCTCGAACTAAAATTACAGACAATTGGGACTTGCTAGACATAGGTACTAGCAACTGAACTCTAGTCCCTTGTAACAGCAGCAAGCACTCTTAAACAACGTCATTTCTTCAGCTCCTGCACTAAATCCTATAAAAATTCTAGGTTGATCATCAACCTCTCAAATTAAAAATAAAAGACATAAAATTTTAGTTTACAATCTGATCTCTTTCTACTTATTTTATAACACTAATAATTCTCTCCAATCATTAAAACATAAAACTTTTAGTTATTTTCTTTTAAACACTATTATTTTTGTTTTTGTTTTGAGATGGGGTCTTCTAATGTAATCCTGGCTGTTCTGGAATTCACTATGTAGACCAGCAGGCCTCAAATACACAGAGGTCCTCCTACCTCTGCCTCCTAAATGCTGGGATTAAAGGCATGTGTTACCACATCCAGTTAATAACTCCTGTTGAATGAATCAAAACAGAAGTCAAAGGGCAAGAACATTCATTCCTGTGACCCATGAAAAACAGTCTTCCCTAACACACAGGAGGACATCCATTGCTGTGATCCATGTAAGACAGCAATCCACCATACACAGGAGGATCAGGGTCAAGAGGAAATGGAAGGAACAAAAGGAGGATATGCTTGTGGTTGTCATCTACATAAACATCTAGCAGAGAGGGGCCATATCAGTATACAGGTTTGTGTTTCAGTTTTGAGGATTTAAACCCAAGGCATGATATAATATGCCAGGCAAACACTCAACCCCAGTCCTCAAATGATTCTTTCATAGCAACATACTACTCTAGATGGAATTTAGGTTGCTTCTGACATCTGACTAATACAAGCGCTGAGAACCAGGTTGGGCCTGTGGTACATCAATGGCAAGAAGCAGGAAGGGCGTTGAACAAAGGCTCCTGGAGAAATAATGACATGGATTTTAGGAAAATCACAGCTAGTTGGGGCAGAAATATACAAAATATTTTGCTGGAGAGTTTGCTCACTGTTTACGAGCACTTACTGCTCTTGCAGAGGACCCAAGTTCAATTCCTAGCACTCTCACTACAGCTCACAACCATCCATAGTTCAAGCCCCAGGGAATCTGAAAATCAGATCCAGGGGGATCTGATGACCTATTCCAGACCTGTCTGGAAAAAAATCACTGCCTGGTATATTCTATCCAAAGTCACAGAGGCCTTCAAAGTGACTGGAACACATGGCACAGAGCACAGCATTTCAGAATGGCTGAATAAGGTATAACTGACAGCATTTAATAAATTCACAGTGATCCCTCTGGATATTTTCAACTCCTCCTTCGCACTCCACATTCTTACAAACATTCACTTATCTGTGCTTTATCAGCCATTTCTGCAAAATTCTCCTCAAGTAACTCTTGGAACAGTTATTTCTTCTGTAAACTTTTCTGGAATAGTTTTTTTTTCATTTTTACCTCTATAATTTTTGCTGCTTTCAAGGTTCTTTTTCCAATGAAACTTTCCCTAGCTGGTCCACAGAGATCTTGTGGGTCTCCTATTTACATTTTAATCCCAAGTATAATCTGTTTTATATTCTTTTAATATGTTAATCTTTATTCACACTAGATTATAAAATTCCCAAAACAAAGGTTGATAAAGTAGTTTCCTTTTGTCAGGATCTATCAAAAGTACAGGGACTTGTAACAGAATGTTTTAATGTATACCTTGTTAAATGGGTATTTCAATCCAAAGGTAAGCAACCTGGTAACCTCAGAAATGCAGAAAAGTAAATGCCTGGTTTGTTGTACATATTTAATGAATAACTGGTGAATGTTCAATGAATAGACAGACAAAAATTTGGAATTAGGCACTGGGAAGAAAAAAGATGAAAAACACTAATTACCAGAGTTCTTGGGGGAAAAAAAAGAACTAAAGTATTCTCTCTTTGTCCCTCTTTTCTTCACTAGGGATAATGTTTTTGTTTGGTTGTTTTATATTTTTGAAGATAGGCATTCATTGGGTCATTCAGTCCACGCAGGTCCTCTCTTTCAATCTGCTGAATGCTGTGACCACAGGCATGCATGCCTTTCGTTAGATGCTCATCTAGACCTCAGAAATTTAGACTTTGTCTGAGCAGATCTTGGCAACAGTCCCACTGCATAGGAGACAATTTAACTGAAGGCTACAGTTAAAAATAGATTTCTTAGAGATTTAGCTTCTAATAATGAGTCCCTAAGGAGTTGCTGATTCAGTTTAGCAGGCCAAGCTAAAACTATTAATACTTACACAGCTCTTATGCATGTCAGTTAGTGCAATTCCCTATCATCCCCCTACTTCTATTAGTGCAATAAAAATAGAAGTTCTAAACTGAAAGATTATTGGGACTCTGGACTGAAT